CCGAGCTAGCGTGAGCTGAGGCCGGGCTAGAGTGAGCTGAAGCGACGGGCTTGAGAACGGTGCGGCGGGCGATTTCGACGAAGGAGCGTCCGGAAGGACATGTGACAACTCCGGGCTGGACTCCGCTTCGTCCACGGTGAAAGGCGATCCACAGCGCAAAGTTGTAGTATTTCCTCAGCAACCAGCACGGATCAGCTCCAGGCATGACGAAGCAGATATCGTCCTCTTTTGGAAGACCAAACAAAGTAGTTTCGCTTTCACAACGAAGCACACAGCATCTTTACGACATGGCGGCAGCAACAACAATACTACAGCGAGAATAAAAGTTACGGCTGCTTTGTTTGCGTGAACATTTGGGTGGCGTTATGCAAATCTTCCCACATCGTGACGTAGATATGTGGGGGCATGTTAGAACGAGCCGTTTTAGGTAGGCGTGGCTGACTCTTAACTTTTATAAAGAATATCTCTTTGGATTTGAGACTTTAGTCTTTGCAACTTTACAGATCTTCCTTATGCACCAAGAGCTTGTAACACTCCAAAGAGAAAGGAAAAATTGAAATCGCATCATATGACCAGAAAATATTTCACATTATGGAAGTGAAATGTGTTCAAATACGTCATGCGTTTACTCTGATTAGCCGAAAATGAAAATATCCATATATTGCATGAACTACTTTTATGGTGCTTTTTTGTCCTTTTAGGAGTCTAAATCTCTTACTTACTTTGTATAAAAAGAGCAGAGTGAACATTCAGCCTAAGATCTCTGTATGTGCTACAGAAAAGAAAGAAAGTCATACAAGTTTGCAATGACATGAGGTTGAGTAAATGGTGACAGAAATGTTGAAGAAATTAGTTTCTGCTCTTCGTGGGACAGCTTTATGATAAAATGATTTCAACAGTCATTCATTGTGGCTTACGAGTGGATTTATACATTAACTGTCATTGGCAGTGATATGACGCAGCAGTATCAAGATGTGCGCTGCAGTCATATGAGTATCAGATTAGCCGCTGAGCACCGGAGCAGAACTGCACTGATCTCAGACCTGCTGACAGCAGCTGTCAGGCCCTCTGGAGAGCAGCTAGCGTGAATAAATCTCAGATAATGACCTGGTTCCTGGCAGGTCATGAGGTGTGCTGTCACACTAGTCCTGTGATCGAGAGACAAAGCGCGCCAGTGAGGAACAGGAAAACCTCACTTCCACCTGTTTCTTCAAACTTCTGTTGCTGGTAGGAGCATGCTTACGATTCGCACAGTCATGGGACCTGTGATCTTACGTCAGTTTGACATTTCAAATTGATTGTTTCTAGCATCTGTCCAGTGCAAAAAGTGCAGATACCAGAAGTATTTTTGAACGTTTATGTTTGGAATGGAATACTAACTTAGTACTTATTGAATGCTGTGCAATACACACTATTTATTTATTTTATGCTTATTTAGCAATAAACCACAAATATGAAATTTTAATTTAAAAATGAACAGTTTTATATTCCTCCATCGCTTGTCATTCACAATGCTGTATGGAAATGTAGTTATTAAAGCTTAATTTTAATTTTAGCTTAAAATCAAAGTTTGCAATGTTGTGATTCATTGGTTGGTTATATACATACATACAAATGGTTATATATATTTGATTAATTTGTGTGTGTGTGTGTGTGTGCGCGTGTGTGTGTGTGTATACACAAATACACACAAATTAATTAAACAAAAAATTGTAATAAATGTGTGTGTGTGTGTGTGTGTTATAAATATATATATATATATATATATATATATATACACACATACAGATTTGGTGAAAGTATTGTTTTCTGAGTGTAGCTTAACTGTTTTAAAGGTTAAAAATTACTAACTTGACCTGGCTTTAACTGTGAAAAGCAAAGCATTTCATTCTAGGAAGAAAATATTCCTTCTGATATCAGCTGTTTCTAACTAGTAAGTAGCAAATCATAGTTCATGGCGGTGACGTAACTAAAGCATACTGGCAGTTTATTGTTCCAAACTTCTTATTTCAAAACAGGAAAGGAAACTACTCTCGTCGATAGACATTTCTTGGGGTCTTTAAGCTTTTAATAATTACTATTCAGTTGTTCTGATGATTGTGCGTAATATGCATGGTTTCAGTTCCCATAGCTGACACGCCAACAAGGTGACTTCCATTTCAGGCGAACCCTCGTTCGGCGTGGCCTGATAAGAAGCTCAATGGCTCAATAAGCCATTGATTCTCTGCTTTCCATATGAGGAAGGGTGCAGAACACAAAGAATGACAGCCAGAGAGATCATGTGCCTCTATATGTTTATTTTGCTTTATGGCGCACGGTTTGCTACAGGTCAAAGGTTATATCATTCCTCTTATTGTCCATGCTTTACAACTGATTGCTTTGCATGCTCTGTTTTTTCCTGTCCAGCTCTTTGATGTATCTAGGTGGTTTGGTTGCTACCTCACCTCTGAGGAGAAGAGATATTAGATCGTACCGCTACTGTTTTTCCATCCCCTTCATCTTCTGTATAACATCCTGTACTCACTCAAGTTGGTGCATGTGAAGAGGCCTACAGCTTGTGTAGGGTCCTTCAGATATGGAAAAAAATAACTTAACATACACGGTGGTCAGCAAGTATTTTCCACTTACATTTTTCGGCCTTGCATTGTGCTGATACTGAATGCTCTCAGCCTTAGATGGCGACACGCCATTCACAGACTATCTGGTGCGTATTGCACACGAAAATAGTGGCAGAAATTGTGATTGATTGGTTTTAAACAGTTTCCAGGAGTCAGGGTGCACATTTTTATCAGTCCACCGGGAAACAAAATGGCTTTCATGAGATCCCAGTGAGTAATAATGAATGTTTGATCTGCCAAAGTCTGTCAAGTTCATGTCGCTGAATCTTTGAAATGTGTGTAGGAGTTTTGTTTGACACACTTAAGGCTGGAATACACTACACAGCTTTTAAAATCTTTAAAAACACTAGGCATCATACACTACCAGAGTCATTCTGAACACAACAAATGAACACAGAAACATTTTCTGTTAAATCAGTCAAAATCTTCAGACTGGCTCTGACTTTTGGCAAATAGTGTCGACTCAGCCAGACTACAAATCTGCATTTCTGGGTTACTGCATTGAATATTTTCTTTGACAATGGCCGTAAATTATAAAACGATTGTGAGGGGGGATTGCAAACTTAAACAACTTGATTCGCATTTATTTCCAGTTGAACCCAAACCTCAAACCGTAGCTGTAAACCGCTGGAATCGTCTGGATCCAGTCAGATTTGCTGAATTGAAAGTGCTGTTTGTTTCTGCATGTGAAACTTGCACATCAGGCCTGACAGACTTTTCAGACAGCGCTTGATTCGCAGCATTTTGACAGCATTCACTCCCTTAATTTGCTTCATATAAGCCTATATTTCAGAAGATCAAGTTGATAAATAGGTTTGCATTGCATTTGCAGTTTCTGCTAGGGCTGTTTGATTCCAAAAGTTTTGGAATTGACTCTGCTTCCAAGAATCGATTCCTCAGTGTTGTTTCTGATTCTTTTTTAATTCTTTTTTTTAAAAGATTGGATGAATATGTTCTCCCTGTGACTACATGATATTACGCATATGTCATTACATGTTACCTTGTTTTCAGTGTCCTTAGTATTATAATGAGATCAGTGTCTATTATGTCTTCATGTAGTCCAGAGTGGCGCTCAAAACCATCCATTGTGGACAACACAATGTTTCACCATTTAAGACATTTTAGACACCTAGAACAAAACAGTGTTTGTGTATCAATGTCTGTATTGTGTTTTAGGTGCAAAACTTTAATGTAGGAAACTTGTTCAGGACATAGGTTAATCAATATGTGTCAATCGTATGCTATTCGAAATGCAGGATCACAGAGTGACAACAAAGCTCATTAACTTAAGTGAATGAAAGGTAATAATCAGCTATGTGTTCACAAAATTTACTCTATTTTAATGTTTTAGCGTGACATATCATGACATGGAGTTGTCATAGAACGGCTGCAATTATTTTTTTGAACCGATTCATTTAAAGGGGTCATATGATGCGATTTCAATTTTTCTCTTTGGAGTGTTAGCATAGAGGAGAAACAATAATGTACAGTATGTGGAAAATAATGTGTTTTTTGAACCTTAAACCACATAAACACATTTCATTACACTAAATACACTAAATAATGTTCTTTTTAGCAACATCATATGACCCCTTTAAATGAACCATCCAAAAGAACCGGTTCAGAGAAATGAATCAGACTTACACGTAATGCATTTTATAATTTGTGACTATTTAATGTGCATTGCAGTGCAACTACTGCAACCTGTTAATATTAAATATGCATCAGAAGCAACATGTGCAAATCAAGCCTTTGTGTTAAACTGTGTTGCTAATGTGTCTTTTCTGTTAAGCTATTGCATATTTTCCTGTTTCTCCTACAGTTCTGCCTTCTTCACGGCACTAGTCTGGTGTATCAGGAGAGAGCGTGGTACCTGGAGCACAACTACCTGACCCCCAACACCAGCCGACAGATCCGCAGCCAGGTATTGACTCATTTGACAACCCGTTCTCATTACCAAGAAACTGAAGCATTGTCAAGCACACTGAATCGAAACATGCCAAGAAGTAGAAAAAAACAATTGCGTATGTAAGCAGATGGATATGCAAAATAATGGAAACATTAAACAGCATATAAATAAAAAATGCCTAACGTTACCGAATAAAATGATGATCCAGGAAGTGGTATAGGATCGTGCAAGCTTTAGATGTGTTGATGGAAGCGATCTATTCCATCTATGTTTTGATCATCGTTCTGAATCTGATCCAGACATAGTCTTTTACAAAAACACCGTTTTCTCAGCTTTTTGTTCAAAATGTTGCTTTTTTCATGAAACCTACCCACATTGAAGCTAGAAAAGAAGCTAGTATAAAATGTTTTTTTTTTGTTTGTTTGCCTTTTTTTAAAGCAGAGGCTCTGTTCTTTGTTTTGACAAAACAAATTGCATGTTCAGATATATTTTGTTTTCAATGGCTTATTGAAGATAATTTATCATGTGACAGGCTGCATAACGTGACGAAAATAACCCGATCGCTTGTTTATAATTAGCTGCTGTTCACTTAAGGACGCGCATAAGAATCACAAACCAGATCTCTGGTATCTCGCCTGTTCCTCCTGGACGGCACTGAGATTAAATGGAGAGCAAATCGAGACTTTGCACATTTGGCCCCAGTGATGTCAAATGTGTCAAAAGATTTTAATGTCTCACATTGTGCTCAAAGTGCGCAATCAAAAGTTTCAATATGAACAGTTCTCAGGCTAAATGATCTGAGCTGTGTTGTTATAAGTTATGAAAATGTTATTTCTGAATGTTATCTGAACATTCAAAATGTCCAGTTTTTAAAAAATGTTTTTTCTTGGTTATACAGATGTTAAGGGAACGTTCCATTGCAAACATTATGAAAATGTTACTTTTGAATGTTCCTTAAACTTTCTGAATAAGTAGTAGTATTTTGTAAATGTTAGACAAACATCCAACTAAATTATTGTGTAATGTATTATGCATAAATAACATTTTTGTGCAAAAGTTTTGAAAACATTATTAAAGGGGACATCGGATGCAACATTCACTTTTACATGGTGTTTGCATATAATGTGTCTTAGCAGTGCGTGGACACAACCACCCTATAATAATAAAAATCCATTCACTCATTTTTTTTAACCCCCAAAAACCTCAATTATCGAGCCGTTTTGATTTTCTGAGCAGTATGATGTCATACTCTTCAGGCCCCGCCCACGACCGCTGACGGACTGTCCCAGCATATTTCCGCCCTCAGCTAGTTGTACGGTCTCTGTCATTATCTCCGCGCTCGAGCAGCTGTAGTGACAACAATGTCTTGTAAGCAATGCAGGTGTTTTGTAGTTGGATGTAAAAGTGAACATAAGAGTTTTCATTTTCGCCCGACATCAAAGCCACTGAAGACGCAGTGGACTCGTTTTGTTTTTAATGGTAACTCGCCACCGAATACACAAAAAACAGAATTGAGGGGCGGGGTGAGCAGTAGCTCATTATCATTTAAAGAGACATGCACCAAAACGGGTCGCTGTGAACAGAGCTGTCCTTGACGAGGATAAAAAGGGTGTTGTTATTCACGACCATTGAAGAATTTTAACCAAAGTATGTTGCAGACATTTCATGAAGACTCTAAAGAATCATAGCAACTTGTGGAAAATGGGCATCTGATGTCCCCTTTAAGAACCGGATCATTTCCCAGCTAATAAAAATATGTTCTGAGAACGTTTTGCTAATATTTCATTAAGTCATGAAAACGTTATTTCTGAATGTTCTCTTAAACGGTTTTTGAAACTATTTTTTTCTTAGTCATATGAATGTTAAATGAGCATGCAAACATTTTTATTAGAAGTGTTATATTTGACAATTTGTAACGTTTAAAAAACATTACATGAACATCCAACAATAGATTCAGAAAGAAAACGTTCCATGAACGATGTATAGATAACATTTTTGTGCTGATGTTTTGAGAACGTTATTAAAGCAGATAACTTTGAACAAATATTCTATTAACGTTATAAGCATTTGTTCACAACTTTGAGAGAACATTGTCAGAACGTTAGCCAAAGTCCTGGGAACATTCCCTGTTAACTGGGCATCCATATTAATTTTTAGCTTTATGCTCTTACTGTTTGTTAACTATTGACTTATTTGTGTCTACTTTCATAGACTTTGAGAACTCTATTAGGTCTGCTGAGTTGTAAAAGTGCAACCCATTTTCCTTTGGAACTTTTATGTTTCCATTAGGACTCACTATATTTGTCTTATTTTCGGTTGAGTGGGAGTTGCTGAAGAAAGGATCTATCCACGGACGAGATGAAAACATGTTTTGGACAGATAAGAGTGAGCATCTTTGCCTATCGTCTAGTTTTCCATGCCGTGGAATAAGCCATGCAAATAACGTCAGGCTCTGCGAGCTTTGATTGGCATTACATTTTGTTATTGATCTGAGAGTCAGTGGCTGTTGAAGATAAACCAGAATATCTCTGTTGCAGAAACAGTACTGAGTGAACAGACGTCTCATCCCAAATCACTTTCATTAATAGTTTTCAGTCTGCTGCAAGTTTATTAAGAATGTATTGTTTGAATGGATTTCATTGAGCTATACTTCTCTAAGAGAAAGTACTGTAGATGAGGTTGTACTTGAATCAAAAGTAGGGATGTAACGATTAACCGCGAGCCGGTTGAAAATCGATTTAAATATGTGACGATTCAAATCGGTTGAGATGCTAAACAAATCGCGATTCAATTAGGGGTAGGAGTTTATATGAATGTATGTCTGAGGGGAACTTGCGGTCTTTTATTTTTTTTTTTCCTCTTGCCTCTGTATAATGCCTATTAATGTTCATAAGTGCAGCGCTGCTTTGTTTACAGCGGAAACCAAGGAAATGCTTTAAGCGCCACCTGCTGGCAGAGAGTGAATCTGCGTCTCATTCAGCTCGTCTGCTGTTTCCGTTTCATGCAGATATTTTTTTCTGCATAGTACCACACAACTGAAGTCAAACCATTCTGTTTTTGCTTCAAATTTCGAAATTATACAATCTAATTTAGATTAAAAACTGCTCATGTTGCATGTATGCAGCATCTTTGTTTGGATCATGATTAAAATGCAGTGGTTGCCTCTAATTTTAAATGGAAAGAGCACAGACAAAGCCTTATTTTGTTTATATGAAGAGATTTATTTTATTTGTGTTACTTATGTATTTGATTTGGGGCTTGTTTTAAAATTTCAATTTAGTTTTGTTATTTACATTTACATTATATTTAAATTTTGTTATTTAGCAAACGCTTTTATCCAAAGCGACTAACAAGTGAGGACAATAGAAGCAATCAAAAAAAAAAAAAAGTGCTATATTAGTATATTATTATGGTGTTATATTTCAATTTCACAAAGAAACGTACAATATTTTGTCCACGCAATAATAAAAGGACACATGTAATTTATAATTTGTCTTAAATCTCATTTTGTTAAAAATAAATCGTGATATCAAAATCGTGAATCGAATCGAATCGTGAGTTGAGTGAATCGTTACATCCGTAATCAAAAGATTTTTCACTCTTTAATTTAGTTAAAATCGAATCGTATTTTTTTTTCATTATAAATCAGCAAGCGAAAAACACACACTACACTCACACTTTTTTCTCTTTACACTACTGTTCGCAAATTTAAGGTCAATCAGATATTTTTTTTTTTTTTGTAAGAAATTAATACTTTTATTCTGCTAGGATGCATTAAATTGAGCAAGGCAAAGAAATGTACATTGTTAAAAAAAATCTATTTTAAATAAATGTGGTTCTTTTGAACTTTCAAAAATTCAGAAAAAAAATACTAGCATCAAATATGTATCATGTTTTTCACAAAAATATGAAGCAGCACAACTGTTTTTTAACATTGTTAATAAGAAGATATGTTTCTTCAGCAGTAAATCAGCATATTAGAATGATTTCTGAAAGATCACGTGACACTGAAGACTGGAGTAATGATGCTGAAAATTCAGCTTTGCATCATAAAAGTAAATTATATTTTACAATATATTCAAATAGAAACTGTAATAATAATTTTAGACTGTAATAATATTTCACAATGTTACTGTGTTTACTGTCTTTTTGATCAAATAAATGCAGCCTTGGTGAGCAGAAGACACTTCTTTCAGAAGCATTAAAAAAACTTACCGACCTCAAACTTGTGAACGTTGTGTATGCAAATGCCACTCAACAGAGAGTGCAAGAGACTCCCTTTTATCGGTCACAATATTCAGAGAAAATATTTCTTCTTGTAGACCTAAAGATGTTGACTACTCTCTAATTTGAGTACAAAATGCTTATGATCAGTAAGCAATTAAGTCATTTTTTTTTGTTACTGAAGTCCAATCCACAGTCCAGCTCTGCTATTCCTGATCATTTAAAGTTTCATTAACATCCAGCAAATAATGCTAGTGAGTCAGTGTGTGTGTGTGTGTGTGTGTGTGTGGTAGTGAGTGAGGCAGAAGAAATGTCCGTGAGCATGTTATTGAGTGAGTAAGACTGTGTGTGGGGGTTCTGAGCACTGAGAACAGTATCTGTGGATGAGATCCTCACATGTACGTGTGATTTCTCTGTGTGTGGCTCCAGCTCTTTAGAATGAGTCATATTGTACACACACTCCTATCATTACATGTGTCAACATTAGAGCCAGACTCACATGCTTCACTGAACACACACATTCACCCCAACACAGAGAGGCAGTGTTGGAGACTGTTTTTTAGTTTTAATTGTGAGCATTATGTGTTGATTTATGGGTAATGGATAACTGTTTAGAGGGGATTTTTAGTGGACATGCAAAAAAAGATCATATTACTGCTCTTTCATAAAGACTTGTGGAGCTCTCAATTGTGTTTTATTTAAGTATCGATTTAGATTTTTTAGGATGCTTTTCCTAAAATTCCCTTCTTTTTTTTTTTTTAGGAAATTAATACTTCTGTTCAGCAAGGACGCATTTAATTGATCAAAAGTGACAGTAAAAATATTTATAATGTTACAAAAGATTTCTATTTCAAATAAATGCTGTTTTCAACTTTATATTTATCAAAGAATCCTGAAAAGCAAAATGTATCACCGTTCCCTCAGAAATATGATGCAGCACAACTGTTTTCAACATTGATAATAATCATAAACGTTTCTTGAGCAGCAAATCAGCATATCAGAATGATTTCTGAAGGATCATGTGACATTGAAGACTGGAGCAATGATGCTGAAAATTCAGCTTTGATCACAGAAATAAATTACATTTTCAAATATATTACAATAGAAACAAGTTATTTGAAATTGTAATAATATTTCAGAATTTTTATGTTCCCTTTCATGGGAACTTCGAACTGGGGAAAGTTTCGATTTTTAGGTGTTTTAGTTGTCATTTTCAATTTTTTTCACCATTTTTGATCTTTCATTAAATAGTCCGGGCCTGTATGATAATACTTTTCAAAGGTTTAGAGTCAATAAGATATTAATTTATTTATTTTCAAAGAAAGAAATTAATACTTTTATTCAGCAAGGATGCATTGAATCGATCAAACGTGACAGTGAAGATGTATAATATTACAAAAGATTCTATTTCAAATAAAAGCTGTTCTTTTGAACTTTTTATTTATCAAAGAATTCTGAAAAAAAAAAATATATCAGTTTCCACGAAAAATAGTAAACAGCACGACTGTTTTCAACATTGATAATAATAAAAATGTTTCCTGAGCAGCAAATCAGCATATTAGAATGATTTCTGAAGGATCATGTGACACTGAAGACTGGAGTAATGATGCTGAAAATTCAGCTTTGATCACAGGAATAAACTACATTTTAAAATATATTACAATAGAAAACAATTATTTTAAATTCTAATAATATTTCACAATATTACTGGTTTTATTGTATTTTTTTTAAATCAGATATATCAAGTAAATGCAGCCTTCGAGGGTATAAGACTTCTTTCAAAAGCATTTTAAAACATCCTTCCGACAATAGTATGAATCTGTATTTTTCCCTAATTTTTGGTCTAATCAGTCTATTATATAATGACTACAAAAAAAACAACAACACGTGTTTTAGATGAAGTTTAGGATGTCACAATGCTGGACACGTCAACTGACCATATTGGGACCACAAGAGATACGAAAGTATACGAATAATTATAAAACTCGGCGTTACAGTAAATACAGTAATGCAAAACTTTTATACTGTCAGTGTCATCTGATCCAGCATGCTGTGGTTCTGCTTAAAACACTGGTTATGGTGAGTATTAATGTATTGACCTCTGACTGTGTTCTCACACATCAATGTCTCTGCTCACACCACACACAGTTCTTCTGATGGAGCTGTGTGTTTAAGGCAAATTGGGAAATGGAACTTTAGGAAATGAAAGTTGAACGTTTTTCAATGTTGCTTTTAATATCCACCAGAGGGTGCTGTTATAGAAGGGTAATGCTTATGGTTATATATTTACTGTGATAAATTGATGTCTAATACCTTGTAGAAATTATTTGATAAAGTTGTAAATAAAAGATTATTGGAGTATGTTTTACAAGAAAATCCTAATTCAGTTTTTCCACTTCAAAATCTCATGTCTTTGTAATTGTGAAATTTACCAGAATATTCTTGAGTTAAAATTGATTCTGCACTATTTTTTTTTTTTTTTCAGTGTTGTTGGGAATTTTTCTTCTGGCGAGTTCAGAATTATCCCAATTTGTTTCCACTAGTGTCAAGTACAATTAGCGGTGTTTGCTATTGATCATACTTAAGTATAAAAGTTTTGACATGCAACGTGTCCCTCAGTGTTTGTGTTACAGACAAAAAAATAAATTAATTAATTGTGCAACTTATTATGGAGAGTGACTGTCGGCGGTTTCACATTGGTCAAGCTCTACTCACATTTTCTTCAAAACATCCAGTTGTATGATATACTGTAGTTGTGTAATCTCTGCATTAACGCTCATGTGATTGTGGTCTGCTGGTTTTGAAGCTTTTGGAGCTGTGCAGATCGGTGAAGGATGATGCTCTGAAGGTGGTCGATTACTTCAACATCCCATCCTGCTGCATCCAGGCCCCTATCGCTGGAGTCGCCAATCCCAGGGCCAAATGGGCCTTCTACCCACAGCCACAGTATCCCAGCAGCACCCAACCTCTGTCTAAGCTCTGAATGAGAGAATAAGCATGGCTTTATGAGGATGTGGAAGAACAATTAAGTGATTTCAGGTTGCTGGTCTCAATGGTTTCCATTTTCTTTCACATTGGTTGGGAGAGATTAAGGACTAATTGGAGGTGGTCAATGCACTTACGAATGCATAGCTGACGTTTTATGATTAAGCATCATGCTTTGTGCCAAGAAGAATGGTAGAACTTGCCAAGGCCTTGAGAAAATGGCATATACTCTAGGCACAACACTACATTTTCTTGTTCACTCTTAAAAATAAAGGTTCCAAAGGGGTGGGTTCACAACAATGCCATAGAAGAACCAATTTGGGGTTCCACAAAGAACCTTTCGGTGAATGATTCTTTAAAGAACCATTTGTTAGTGTGAAGAACATCTAAAGAACCTTATTTAACATTCAAAGAATTTTTGTCCAATAGAAAAAACCTTCCTTGAATGTTAAAGATTCTTCTTGGAACCAAAGATGCCAATAAAGAAGCTTTCATTGAACATCTCTTAAAAGAACCATTTTTCCTTAGTGTGAAGAGCATCTAAAGAATCTTATTGCACTATAAACAGTCTGCTGTCCAATGGGAAAGTTCCATGGATGTTAAGAGTTCTTCAGAGAACCATCAATAAAGAACCTTTATTTTTAAGAGTGTATGTAGAAGGGAATTTCAGTTATACGAGTTGCACATTATGTCTATCATACAATATTTTGTTTTAAATTCTTCAGTGATTTTATCTGAATTGATTTCAAATAAACACCAGCCAAGCATCTCACATTTACAGAGGAGCCCTGATAGCCTGGATCTGAGCTATAACAGCATAAAGAAGTGCCAAAAGGCAGTGCAAAAAGCCCAAAAAGAAGTTAACGAAGTGCAAAAGCCCAAATGTAATTAGTCATCACATGACACACAGTTAATGAATATTTATGCAATTGTACATACATTGAGTAACAGTAACTGCACTACAATGTTGGACGGACAATAATATATTACTGCAGCTATAGTTTTTAATGCTACTATCAACTGCCATAATTTGACCTTTATTTAAAAGGTAAACAATTCGATCACAGGTTCTAATGTAGTTCAAATCTGCTCAGTCTGGGTCTTGGATGGATGTCCTTTTATGTCATTGCTGTACACTAAGTTTGGACCAAACTACCAATTGTCTTATTCAAGTTTTCTTTTCACAAAAAAACATCAGTTTGTTCACTTGTTATTAAAGTCTGCCAAGAACAGCAACATGGAAGTTCCTTAATGTTCTGCAAAAAAAAAATAAAATAAAATTGCATTCCCTTATATTTCCAGATTTTCTGCAGTTGTCAATGTAAACTAATGGAAGACTGGATATATTTAGAGCTATTTTTTTAATTGTCTTTGTGTGTAAAAGGTGCATGTTGTCATATTGTGCCACAAACAGTGGATAATTTAATTAATAACAAAATATAATGCATACCAAATACTTGTATTGCAAGTGTAAACCTAGCTTGTATTGCATGCAGAAACATTACATTGTTTCAAAATGCCCATGATTCACTTGTGACTTGTGAAAAAACATTATTCAACCAGACTGTACATGAAATATACCACACAAGAGACTAGCCCGTGCAAAAGAAGAGCTATAGTGCTTTTGTTCTAGTTTAATCTAAAGTGTTTGTGTACATTTGGAGCCTGATGGTGTGGTTTGAGAGGATGTGGGTTTGACCATTACAAGCCCATCCCATGTGGGGCGTGGCTTCTCAGCTTTACTGGGAGGGTTTGCTTCAGTAAATAGACAGCAGAACAACTCGCTCACTCTGCGCAGCAGACACAAGAGAGTGAGCCTCGGTGAGGAAGTGCACTTTAAGAAGACACCGAGACAAAAGAGAGACCATTCAAAACAATCCTGTGGACATTTTTCAAACAGGATATTACATGACAGCTGGTCTAAGGGGAGGTTTAGAACAATCGATTGCCTGCTATTGGAATTGTGCTTTTTATTTTATTTTTTTTGCAACTAATATCTCTGGATATTTCGAAAATGATGCGCTAACGCGTTTATGCCGCAGCGGATATGTCTGACACGTCCAGGTGAGTTCATACGCGCGTATCTTACCGTATACCGGCTTTCTTTAGGACAACTTTGCACTTTTCCCTTTTTTGCACAATATTGTAAATCAAAAAGGATTATACGTTATCAATATACGCGTTTTAACATTTGATCGCCGTGATTTAAAACCCATGAAAGGCTTTCGTAAAATCGGGTTATTAATTTGTTTATTTGTCAAGATCACCCTGGATTATGTTTCGTGTTGGTATTTTATTCTAGCGAAGCACAACGCGCAAAACACAAAGTTGCGCGCGGCGTCGAGGGAGAAAAAAGTTAAACTTCAGACGCGCGTTGTCTGGTCGCTTTACGCAGCGTCCAGCCAAACAATGTCGCAAAGACAACACAAGTTGAGATGTAGTAGAGGAGTCAAATCCCCTAAATTGCCCATACCTGTTGACATTTAACCAGAGTGAATAATTTAACAGTTTTGCAATGGATAAAAGCCAGGCACCTGTTTGCTTTTTTGCTTTTTCCGCTATCCACCGAAAACAAGTCCAAATACGATGAAACCCGCGGTTGTTGTTGTTCTACAGTTCTACGCCAGGCGATACCCTACGAGTGTAAAAGATAGCCTACATTTATTCGCGCTTTACGCTACTTTCGAAATAGGACTCGAAATGTTCCCGTCGGGAAAGAATGGCGATTTGGAACGTGCCAAGCGATATGTGTTTATTATTATTGTTTATTTATATTTAACGATCGTCTAATCTGTCGGTCTGTTAGACTGATACTCGCATAACTTTGCGCTATTGTCTGCTTGCCTGAACACTTGGAGGCGTCGACGCGCTCCTATTAATAGGAAACTTTGTTTGGGTGCGCATGTTATTGTTTCGCCGCCGCTCTCTCGATGAAAATAAATCGCTATAAAACTCCACACTCGCACATTACCGATTACTGACAGTAGCATGTTGGCCATTATTGCTCGCTAACAAGTGAAAAGAAAGAAAGAAATAAAGATCGAGTTGCGTCAAAGTCCCCTCTCGTACAGTAGGCAACAGTATTCATTACTGTCAGTAAAATGCTGACTTTGCAACTCGCTGACAAGTGACAACGAAGCAAGATATAAAGGAAACTGAAGAAAGAAACTGCGATCCAGTCGCGTGCGTGTTTCTAACTCGCGATCCTATACTGACTATATAAAGTAGCATAGCCTACTTATTAGTAGTGACTGACAAGTGCACTCGCAACAAATCCAGCGGTATGTGATACTAAAACAACATGACGGAGTTTGTTCAATTTTCATTTTAGCTGATTTTTATTTACATATCTGTCGGTGTTTTGGCATATCGCTTCGCTGTTTGTTCAAACCGGCACGATTGACAAAGCTGAGCTGGCTTACGGAGAACTACGGGATGTGTTTTCATTTTTAAAAGCACGACATAATAAGCCTCTCCAGACCAGAACGATGAAACAAACAAAGTTGAAAGCTTGTAGATTCCTCTACAGCGCGAGTTCGAAGTGCCGCGTGCAGTATTCGACGCGATCGCCTCGCGCGTTATCGAGTTCTATCCCACAGTGTAGACTGTTTTGAGGCAAGGAAGAAATAGGAAGTTGAAGTGGAGCTCGTTTGTGACGCACTTCACCGGGTTACTAACTTACTTGTAGCGTTCCCTGCAGCTGAGTTTCCAAACGCGTGCAAAATCGCCACGAAATAGACTGGAAGTTCAAAACTCCCTGCCAAACAACCCACACAACTCCTCTTCGAAACGCTTGCAAACGACAGTAATGAGTGTTTTGTTTGTTCTGCAGAGAGCAAACGCCGGGCCGGGGAAGCGGAGAGAGCGCCGGTGGCGGAGCTGTCGTGCGCTCCGGGTACTTTGACTTCCCTCAGCCGAGCGATGGGGACCCGTTAAGGGGAGGGATTTCCATGTCGAATAGTCACCAGTCGAGGTCACCGATGTGCCGAACCTTCTCCAGGTCCTCTAGTGGCTATTTTTCCGTCGACAGCGATTCTGTGCCAGGTTCCCCGCTAATGCCCAATATTTCCGAAGCGCAAGACGGCCAAAATGATGGTAAGAGCCCCCTGGAGGAAAAAAAGGCCCGATTTTGTGGTGTGTAAACACGACACTGACGCGACAAACAGCGAGGCATCATAACCGTTTTCTTTCAGTGGATTAGACCGTTAAGAATTGGATTATTTCAAATTTGAAGCCGGTGTTGTGCCGGATTCTGCACCCCTGCCAGATTATGCACCCCCCCCTCCCCCACACCTACTCCTAAACCTACCAATACTAGGGGGTGCATAATTTGGCGGGGTGCAAATTTCGGCACTACACCGGCTGCAAGTTTCCCGCCCTGGTGTGACCTAGCATCGAATCGCACGCGCGCTCTTCTATATTTTGACCAACATGTCATGATGAATTTAATGAACTTTTCCACGACATGCTAATTTATTGAGATGCACCTGTATATATATATAGATAGATAGATCATTTTATGGCTTTATTCCCAAGACTTTATTCCCAAGGGCAAAGGGCAATTTGGTTTTGGGCCCCTGGGGGTCGGTGGACAGATATATAAAATATATTTTCTTTAAAATTATTTCTATATTAGTTCAAGTGTAATACATTTGTTATATGTTAAGCATTATATAAAGTTTGTTAAAACTAATCAAAGACATTAGACATTGTTGGCAAAGAAAATCTAGCCATTTTATATATCGCCTTTTAGGGGTCTGTATTGGGGAGGGGGGTCCCTGAGTCTGTAAAGTAAAAAAAAAAAAAAAAACTTCCACAGTGACAGATTGTACAGGTGAAGTAAAGGTGCGTAAAAATGTTAATATAGCCACATCTCACTGTTTATGAATGTCATCCATTTAAGTGCTTTGGATGTTTAACTTGGCGCTCAGTTTTCCACATTAGCGCAGCGATAAGCATAATGTTTTGATGCTTGGCAGTGCACTTGTCTTGAGAATCTCTTCCAGAAAGCATGTTCTTCTCATTTAGAAGCAGCACAGATCTGCCTAAAGCCAAGTCGACTCATTTGTCTTTGTGATAGCTGCTCTAAAAGAAGTAACCTGCATTTCCTTTCTGTTAACATCAGACTGTTCACTGCATTATGCATTCTGAAGCATGTGCTTGCACGTGCATGAAGCTACTGCTCGGTTCATTCACAATATCTTGCAAACCCGGTGCACCTGAGACACATGACCACAGCGTGTGTCCCATCTTCTCATAATGCCTCAGATGGAGTTGGCTGATTTGCCCATTGTCTTCTT